AAATTTTGAACTTACTATACCAACATCTACTTGCTAAATAATTAAAATTCTACAATAAGGAAGCTGATAGCGGAATCGAGGTTATTATATGTACAATGCATCTGCTTTATATGTATGTACATGGGTATATGTAATATACAATTAATATATAACTGGCGTTCTCGATGTACGTTATCTCGTGCTGTCTCAATTTGTTTATGTTTGATTATTGCTCTTATCTCAACACAATTTCCTATTCGTATCATCGGCACATGAACCACATTCATGTATATATTGTAGTTGTATCGGGTTCATAATGGACCTAAGTGATTACAGGCACGCAGTTTGAATATGTAACAGTATTGATAATTAAAGTACTGTATTCATAATCGTAAGGAGGGTTGTCACGACGAACTTTTGTTCAGTCCCTGAAGAAAGTAACTTTGTTTGTTTGGGTGTTCTGTCTCACGTTTTGACGTTGGAATTTAAGCTATTTAACGTTATTTAATCGTAATTAAATAAAAAAAAAATATTGCAAGTAAAAGGGCAAAATAATTGATATTCCGAATGGGATCTACTGAAACGGGGGTCGATACCATTTTGGAAGTTTAGGAAGTCCTTTTGAATGGTACCATTTTAGCAACAAATCAAGTTATTAAATTAAAATTGAAACCTAGGTTATGTTAGTTTGTGTTATGCTAGGTTTGGTAAGTTAGGTTAGGTTATGATAGGGTGAATGGTTCCCCCTTTCCGTTTGAGAGCTTTACCTGACGTGAGATTCCAATTATTTGTTACTAAAATTGGTTAAAGGTCAACTTCTTTTCGCCACTTCAAGTGGTAAGATTCGAATGTTCTTGACCTACGACTTTCAAAAATTTTTTTAATGTTTCTCGTATAATGAAGTAAATGTGACGATGCGTGATATTTTTTCTATTATACTTTGATTATTTATTTAGTTACTGTGCGATTAGATATAAATAATGCCCAAACAACAGATAAACGAATCTTTTTACATATAAGTTGATACGGAATGTGAAACAATAACCTCATACATTACGGTTTCAGTAATCCTATATTACACACAATTAATCATAGGACTTTTCATTAAAGATGTTTCGTAACTTACACACAAATAATGAATATTTCCACAAAGTTTACTAAAGGGAACGGACTATAACAGAATAGTGAATAATTATAATGCAATAAGAAAATTTTTGTTGTTTGTCAAGGAATATCCATTATTAATCGATTGAAATTTCTTTCGGGAAGTAGTTACGCATTCTAACAATAATTACGAAGTATTTTTATCGATGTACTTAATTTCATTAATTATTGTAGTTATTTGGGCGTTATTTTAAGGGAAGATTTACAGTTATAAACAGTTTCTTTGTTTTTTGCAGGGATCGGTTTGCCAACAGGGGTCACAATGCGAGAAAAGAAAAGTGGTGCTATGTCTCGTATGCAAAAACTCAAGAAAAGACTGTCACACTCTTTTGGACGATTAGGTGAGTTAAAATCCAAAGCTAAATATATTTCAGCTGAAAGCAAAATTTTCGAATACTTCATCAAATAACAGGTCAATTGAAAAGTCCCCGGCCTAAAATAGTAAAACACAATTTTTTTGCAAAATTCGTTTTTTTTATTCAACATAATTCCCTTCAAGGGTGATACACTGATTATAGCGATCCTCCAACTTTTCGATACCATTTTTGTAGTACGATTTGTCCTTTGCTTCAAAATAGGCCTCAGTTTCGGCGATCACCTCTTCATTCGACGAAAATTTTTTCCCAACGAGCATTCTTTTGAGATCTGAGAACAGGAAGTAGTCGCTGGGGGCCAGATCTGGAGAATACGGTGGATGCGGAAGCAATTCGAAGCCCAATTCATGAATTTTTGCCATCGTTTTCACTGACTTGTGAGACGGTGCATTGTCTTGGTGAAGCAGGACTTTCTTTTTCTGCAAATGCGGTCGTTTCTCGGCGATTTCGTCCTTCAAACGGTCCAATAACGCTATGTAATAGTCGCTGTTGATGGTCCTTCCTTTTTCAAGGTAGTCAATGAAAATTATTCCACGCGCATCCCAAAATACAGACGCCATAACCTTGCCAGCCGACTGTTGCGTTTTTGCACGCTTTGGAGCGGGTTCATCGTGTGCAGTCCACTCCGATGACTGTCGATTGGACTTCGGAGTGAAATGATGGAGCCATGTTTCATCCATTGTCACATATCGACGCAAAAACTCGGGTTTATTACGCGTGATCATCTTCAAACACTGCTCTGAATCATCAACTCGTCGTTGTTTTTGGTCAAAAGTGAGCTCGCGCGGCACCCACTTTGCACAGAGCTTTCTCATACCCAAATATTCGTGAATGATGTGATGTATACGTTCCGTTGATATCTGTAGAGTGTCTGCTATTTCATTCAATTTCAATTTACGGTCATTCAAAATCATTTTGTGGATTTTTTTAATGTTTTCGTCCGTAACAGCCTCTTTTGGGCGTCCACTGCGTTCACCGTCTTCGGTGCTCATTTCACCACGTCTAAACTTAGCATACCAATCCTTGATGGTTGATTTTCCTGGGGCAGTGTCCGGAAATTCGTTATCAAGCCAAGTTTTTGCTTCAACTGTATTTTTTCCCTTCAAAAAGCAATATTTTATCAACACGCGAAATTCCTTTTTATCCATTTTTTTCACAATAACAAAAGTTGCTTCACTAAAAATGCTATAATTCACAAACTAATGATCCGACAGCCGTCAAATTTATAGACGCGTCTTTTGAAGATTAGGACTAACTGAAAATCATATGGATTTAGTTCTAGTGCCGCCATCGATGTGTCAGGCCGGGGACTTTTCAATTGACCCTAGTACATAAGTTAAAAAATAAGCCAATTAATGTAAAAGTATTAAGAGGTTGTGTTTACGCCGACTTCTGAGAATATACATTTCTGAACATGCCCGACAAAACATACCAAAAGTTACCAACTTTAGTTCTTGAGTTACTTGCTACGAAATAAATTACTTTCAAAATGTCACTTTTTGTCAAATAACTCTTAAAATAACTTCTTCTTGAAAACCTTAATGCGAGTGTACGGTAAATTTCATAAAAAAATGCATGTCTATTTTTATGTCTTTGTACAATGAAAAACGTAGGCTCCAGACTTTTTTGTAGTTATTAATTAAATTGAGCTCCAAAAAAGCTTATTACAGCTTCAAATATGAAAACGAATGAATGAAGTNATGAACCTGAGTCCAAACAGGACTCCATGCAGTAGCACAAAAAAAGCACGCCACCACCCAAGAAGTTTAAGGTGTCATACTCGGCTAGGAAAATCATGGCTACAGTCTTTTGGGACTCAGAAAGGATTCTGTTGGTCGATTAAAAATATAAAAGTGTCTCCATAACCGGAGAATACTATGCTTCAATCCTAGAGCGGGTAAAGGAAGCAGCCAAAGAAAAAAGAAAAGGAAAATTGATCAAAGGTGTTCCCCATCTGCACGATAACGCGCCTGTTCACAAGAGCCGTGTTGCGATGGCTGCCCTGCAGAAGGTTGGCTTCGAAATTTTGGCTCACCCACCCTTCAGTCCTGACCTACCTCCTAGCGATTATTAACTATTCCCAAACTTGAGAAGAAGTCTTCGTGGGAAGGAATTTTCATGCGACGAAGAAGTGAAGGATGCAGTTTCGGCGTATTTTTCAGACAACGACAAAATATTTTTGAAAGGTATACGTAGGTTAATTGAAAGGTCGGAAAAATGTATAAGGGTAGCAGTTGAATATATTGAAAAGGAAAAATAAATTCTTACTTTTGTTTCCACTTTTTAACCCCCATTCCGCCAACCTCAAAACGCCCCCTCGTATATTGATGTATAATTTTGTTGCTTAATTGCCTCGATTTATTAACGTCAACGATTTGAATTACTTGCTGAATACAAAAATGAATGTAATACTTATTGCTATTAGCGAGCGGTCAGCTATTAATTATTTTGCAACTGGAGCGAATTATGTAGGTACTTACATAAAAAAAAAATTAACCACGTTGTGGTATCTAATTACGAAATTCAAGAATTTTTCTGCAAACTCCGTCAACTATGAATTTTGTTTTTACCTCCAAAAGGAAAAAAAAACTGTGTATTAGGTAGATATAACGGAAAATCTATAATTATAAATCGTATTTTCCAGGAATGAGCGTTAACTAATAAAAATAATTTTATAGAGTTGTGTGTGGAGTATTATTTAAAAGTTTTAAAGCAAGTTCAAAATATTGCTTCTTTTTATGTAAAAATATGCTGAAATTATTACTTAATTCATTGGGATATCGAAAATTCTTAAGTATTTCATTATTCTTAACTTGGGTGGTAATTAGTGTATGCTTAACTTATTATATGCAACAAATTATTAATTAAGAGTACGCATTTATTGCAAAATTATATAAATTTATATAAATTTTGAATGTGACATCGACATGATAAATTTACCTAATTTAAAATGCATTTTTTCTCTCTGGTTCACAAATTGCAACATTCATTTTATTCAAATTAGTTTTCAATGACTGTACTAATTAAATGGTAAAAAGTGAAGCCAGCGGTATCCTACAATATGAAAAACCAGTTACGTTTTATAAGCGTGTGCTTTAAACATGTATTAAGTCTCTAAATAGCTAATTAATTGACATACATGTATGCAATTATGTTATTAATTAATGTATCGATGGATATATCAATGCTGAGATTTCATGGTGTGTGCGTCTGGTTGCAATTAAAAATGGATTAAAATAGATCAATTAAACGATATATATATATACGTATATATGTATACCACCATCAAAAGATGATGCTCCCTTTGTAAAAGAATATTTCTTTTCAGTTCGCAAATAATGTATGGAATGTATCGGTTTTCCAAGTGATTAATGNCGATATCGAATTGATTAATTTAATGTTGTTTTCCAAATTCTTAGTAATCAAAAATTTTTGATTTCGTTTTTATAATTGCACCTAACCCAAAAATCAGTCGTTTGCGAGGTCTCTTGATGATTCATTCTGTCACGGTTCAGTAGCTGAACTCGCTTGTTTAAGTATAAACGTTATCAGTCGTGGCTTGTTTTTAATTGTTGGCGGAAATCTCTGGGTTATTTTTTATTTTCCTTCCAATTAATACAGCAATAGGACGTTTTGTTAGTAGATACCAATTCATCAGGTGAATCGTAGTGCTTCTAAAAATAATATAGTGATTATCAATCCAGTAGTTTGCACTTAATCGTAGGCATACATGTATTTATATATATTCGTGACTATCTGTGGTTATTGTTGAACAACGTGTTTTTTGTTGTTGTATTTATGGATGTGATGTGGATGAACTGTAGCTGTTAAGTTAATAAAAGAAGTCCTCAGGCTCATTGGCATTGCAGCTGTTGTTAACCGGTTTCCAAGTGGAACTTGAGGAAGAAGGTATACCTACTTATACATATAGTTAATTTTAAAGATTTATTTACTTTCTGTAAGCAGGTAAAAGTGCACACGGTATTTATTGCATTGATGGACTGATATAAATGTTGGTACCTATTTTTTTTTTTGGGAAATGCAGGGATACATGTTACAATTGACTATACCTGTTATACCTTTTTTGTAGCGTGTTTTGTATGGAAGTTTTCGTTCAGTAGGATACTCAGATATTTATTTTATTACAAATTACATGTGAAGGGATAAGGTCCTTCACTTGTTTTTTTTATGAAGCTTTTAGACCTACTATAAGGCATAAATTTGCATTTATTTACACAAAAAGATAAACATATATGCAGGTATTAAGTTTATGTTTGTATTAAATAATAGGAAACTCCGAACGAACGCGGGATAACTTCTGATTTGTAGCATCGACACGCGGAACCCCTAAGCATTTGAGTGGAACCTTAAGGTATTTTTAGATCTTAAATTTTTTAATGTCACTAACCGATCCCGTGTCAAAAGCTTTTAAAGGATGATGTTGTAGGTAGGTATCAATTGAACATTTACCTTCATCATAACAAAACAAATTCCTACAGGCATTTATCCACAATTATGTTTTACTTTATATTATGTATCGTCTAAACTGACTTACCCAAGTAATCGTTATTTTCAAAATGTGCGTATGACATAGGTGCTTCCATCAAATTATAGATTTTACGTTATAGGTAAATGAAAATGTAAAAACCTTTCCCTTTTCTTAATTACCTATATACTGTTACTTACGGTTGAGACTTACTTAATATGCTTACAAACTAGGTACCTATAAATAGCTTATTTGTATTAATATAAATATAATTTTCTGAGAATTTTAATGGCTCATAATACCCATTATGCTACTGGCATTTCCGTGACTACCGGAGGTTCCTGATTTATATTAATCACTTTGTAAACAACAAAATTTTATCGGTCGTTCTTCCCTTTTAAATGTTCCAACTGTCGTCGTGCTATTTATAAATTTATTTGAATATTTTTTAACCCCTTGCATTATCCATCTGTATACATGTACCAATTAAAAGCTTAACAACAATTATCTACCTGGGGACTCCTGGTGACTATTCTTATTGTATTTATTCAATTTTTGCTTGCACTAGACCTCGTCCATGAACCCCAAGGTGTTCGCTACAAGTATTCGTTGAATTTGGTAGCCCGCACTTATTTATGTATTATCCATTAATAATTTTCCCTTTTCAGTCAGTCCAAACCAGCCCTTTAAGATGTCGGCCCATTGGTGATTGTACCGATGAGCTTATATGGTCAGTTCACTACTTATGCATCTCGTTTTCTTTGATCTATAACAACAAGCAGCAGGTTGCAGGTTGTTTGTTGTTGTTGTTACTTTGTGTGTATTTTGATGTATCAAATTTGCTATATTTTGTGTTTTGGGTTCAATTAAGTACATGGGAATTTTTATAAGCTTAAAGTATGTTCTGAGTCATATCTATGTGTACGTACCTAATGTAGTTCTATTCGCAATTGTTTATTGTTTTTATTGGCATACTGTAGTAAACAATGATTTTGAATTCATTNTGTCGAGGCTTGGACGTTTTCTGAATCAAAGGAAAATGCATCCAGAGTTTTGAAATGTGAATCTATCAAAGAATATTAAGAATTTCCGGTAAAGGTCTAAATGATGGCCCCAACCCCCTTCGGGGGTGGGGATGGGTGGTATCGAAAGAGGAGGTCTCCCCTACCACTGTGCTATAAAAAGTTGACAATTTTCATACACTATAATTCAAATAAAATCTAATAAAAAAAATATTTTCAACTGGTGGAGGTGGGGGATCGAAAAAGGCTGGTCGCACGAACTTTTTATGGTACATTGGTGGGGGAGACCTCCTCCTTCGATCCCCCCATCCTCCGAAGGGGGTGAGGGCCATCATCTAGACCTTTAGCAAGATATATTTAAATTGGTGGAATCTACTTCGTAACGTATTAATTTAATCATTTAGGTGCAATCTTTTCTCATTTGTTGAGGCATATTACTAAGGACTATGAAGTCTCCTCTGAGCAGTTGTTTTTTTTCTAACGAATAAACCACTTTGTTCTTCTACTATACTAATTACTATTCAGATTTTCTCTAAAACAACTCTTTTCTATACATATACGATACATATCTGGTGTGTTTTGTCATTGAAGTCATTTGTTTAATCATCGGAGATTAGGATGAAGTGGTTTAATGGCGGTAGTTTCCTGGGGTGACGCGTCCCGACGCCTGGACGATTTTTACAAAAAACACGTCGTTCATAAGATTTAGTAAGCAATTACTGTCCGAGCCTGAACCCATTTCGTGAAAAGCGACCGTTTTCTTTTCTGTTTTATTCTACCAGGGTTACTTGATTTTCGTTTTATTTTATTTTTTTGTTTTACTTTGAATAAAAAAATGTTTTCGTCGATGATTGTATTACAATGAAAACGAAAAATTAATGTAAACAGTGAATGAAAAATATGAGTAGGTATGTTATCAATGTTTGTTATGATTATTTGTTCTTTTTTTTCTACCGTATTATGATAAAAGTAGTTCCACCCATTTATATATTAATCATGGGGATTCTCCGTGGTGGTCCCTTAGTGCATAACACTGGGACGACAACATTTCATCCTTGATGCCTAGCACTTCATATATTTCAATTAACTAATATTACAATGCTACAAATTAACTGTAAGTAAGCCATAGTTAAAATCAGTAGGTAAACCTGATAACTTGTCTGCACGAATGAATCATGAACATATTTTAAGTAGAGATACACCAGTTAATGGTATTTCGATATCGAATTGATTAATTTAATGTTGTTTTCCAAATTCTTAGTAATCAAAAATTTTTGATTTCGTTTTTATAATTGCACCTAACCCAAAAATCTAGTACGTTACCTACCCATCTTTAGAATAGGTTTATTACATTTTCCGAATATTCGCATTTAAACATGTCTAACGCGTCCAATTTTTTCATCAAAAATCCCTATTAAAAATAGATCTGCGGCAGTTTCATCTTTCAATTAATGTTTTAGTAGTCAACTAATTGCAGAAACTCGTAATATTAGAAGACATAACTGCACCGATTTACATTACAAACATACATACTTACACTAGAACATTAGTTGGTTTCTTAATTAGTTCTTATATGTGCATCTATACATTTTTAAAATGGATTGGATAAATAGAATTTGGAGAGTTATAAATACGTAAGCCACGTGGACTATTTGCTGTATAATAAAATAAAACTATACCTACCTACGCATTAAACAGTTGCTTATTGATAAAATTTTATAACCCTTTTACTTTGTTAGTACCACTTAAATGTTGTAGCTGATAAGAAATATCGTGGTTCAATTTTTTAAAGCGAACGAAGTATGTACAAAGTAGGTGATCGTAATAATTGGCATGGAATTCCCCTATTAGTTTGTTGGGAAAATTAAAAATACTGGTGTGGGACCAGGTACGTAGTAAACCTTTTTCCGTATGGACCACACCGTTGCAGATTTTATGTGGTATTAAACTCGAGATATCTTAAGTTCCGTGATAAGCAAGCTAATTTCCTGCCCCTGAAGAAGTGAAAAATTCTTTAGTTTAGAAATCATATTCATCGCAAAAATATGTGGAATTGAATGCGTATGGTTTTAAACTTGGCGGTGTCATATTAAAATATTATATATGAAAAGAACTAAGCAATAATTTAATCAGCGATGTCTCTGAATAAGTTGCATTACACATATAGATAAATACTGAGTTTTATAATTGCTCGTTTTATCGCTAAATACTTTGAAAAGTTTAAGTTATGAAGTCATATTACATTTATCAAAATGTTTGCGTTTTCCTCATAAATGATACATTTGATAAATAGATGGTGATTAACGTCGGTGCGATTGGCATCAATTGTTTTTATCATTACTGGATGTGCATTAATCACATATTGAACTTCATTGTTTGAGATTTTCGGATTTCCACCCAAAAAAAAAATACTACGTAGAATTACCATACGTTCCCAGAAATTTGAAACGTTACAGGTGGTAGATACGTACCTATGGATGTACCAAAATACAATACAATAAAAGTTCCTTATTCACGGTTTCCTCATTCGCTGGTGAAAAATTGCAACCCAGTTCCTGCATTCGCGGCTAAGAATTCCATTATTCGCTGATGCAATCGGTAAACAGAAAAGGATTCGGTGTCATTTATTAAGGAGATCGACCGCAATAGACCACTCGTGCCTAGTGGGAATTTTTCCGAATGTGGGTTTCTATTTTAAACATTGTGATTTAACTCTGCGAGATAAATGTGTGATTTTTTGTATAGTAACAGACAAAGGTTCACACTAACTCTGTACGTTTTTGGTTTTCAATAATATGGTCATTAAAAGCTTTTGCAAGTGCTTAAAGTTGGTGCTTCTTGTAGGACACGTATTTTCAATAGAAATTAAAAAATTAAAAAATGGCCTCCTACAGACTTTAGAACAATGCTTCATCTATCTTACTACAAAATTTCAAAACCTCTGTTCTAAACAATAAACTCATGATATCTAGAACCGATAATCTGAATTCCCTTAAAGCATCTTTTGAGTACGTACAGTTGGTACGTGCCGAAGCGGCTTTTATAAAAAATCTAACCGAGTAGTAAAAGATTCGGTGTTACACGATTGTAAATTTTACTTGGTTTCTAAAACACCATCTATTTTGTCTTACCTAATCGTTATTGCATTTGCAAAAATGTCGAATGTGTGTTATGTGCAATGTGCATGTATCAGACGTTATTCATGCTTATTAACATTAACTGCATTAAGAAATAATTTTGTAACGATCTCATGAAGAAGTACAAAGTTTCAGTGTTCAGTTCATATTCACTGTAAACAGTATATTTTATTGTCTGTTACACTCTGTATAAATGGTCATGATTGCACGGGTGGGAGGAATTATTAATCTGCCGTCCGTTATCTGAATAATTAGAAACATAACGTCATATTGCTAGCCTTTGTGTATGTGTGCATGAATGAATGATGAAAGTATGAGTGTTGTACGTATATTTATGTGCGTGTGCATTTGTGTAATAGTGTCGTTATGCATTAAATTAACTGATTCATGCCGAGAGACCAAATTGGTAACAAGTGGGAACATCAGAAACGGGTTGTTCCTTAATGAAAATCGGTGTGTCTCATCGCTGTGTTGTAATGTTTAAGTTGTTACGATGTGAGTTTTTCTTTTGTTTTAAAGCTTTTTTATTTTTAATTTATCAGTGCATTCAAAACAAGGTGATCAATACCAAAAGTATTACAAATTACATACATGCCTTTAAAAAAATTTAGATGTTGACTTTGTACGAACTATTTACAATTGTTTTATCAATTAATTTTGCTTGTTACAAATTTCAAACTAATTGTAAACTATTTAAATTAGATATACACCAGTGGTTTTGGCGGGTAGGTATCAGGTAGTCATTAGTGGCGAAATCTCTATAAAATATTGCCATTTGGATTTTGATGTAATAAAATGATTAAATTTGTAATTGTACTAATTGTGTTTAAATTGTAATCTACTGGATTAAATTAAGTAAATGCCACTATTTTTTTTTCTTTTATTGTGGTAAAAAGAATTTTTATTTTAATCGATGCTTGAATTATATGTATAAATAAATTTTTGCGGAAATTTGTTTAACTAAGTAAGAATTAATTGTTAATTTAATTGTTTGTTGTCAGTTGTATATTGTTCATTTCGTAAACAATAAGCGATTGGTGTTGTCATTTTGAAGTAAATCTTCGAAGGTTGTAGTTTCTCTCTGAAGCAATTGATATTTCATTCATTTGACATATTTTCCCAGATATTTTCGAGATCGAAGATGTTCGAATCTGAAACCTTAACTCCCATATTTGCACACTTCCCTTTTTCAATTTTTGTATCTGCAATTTTGATTTTTCCTTTTTCTTCGTCAATATATTATGTAATTTTTCTGATTATTCCCCGACTTCATATACCTACATTCAGTTTTTGATTTTCATGTGTGAAGATTGCTTTGAAAAGTGTCATCATCTTCTACTTTTCTCAGTTTTAAGAAAAGACAAACTGATTTCGAAGAACATTTGGGACTAATCATAGCCTAAAATTGCGTTTATTGGAGACTGAAAACGTTTGTACGATTTTTTCTATACCACCATCAAAAGATGATGCTCCCTTTGTAAAAGAATATTTCTTTTCAGTTCGCAAATAATGTATGGAATGTATCGGTTTTCCAAGTGATTAATGTCATGTCACAATTTCAGATCTGTTAGTAGTTTACACCTATTATACTTAAAAGGGTATGAAGTTGTTCTCCAGTAACCAAATGTGAAGTATCTACACGGAGAGAAAAATCTTGTAAAAATTACCATGCTGTCTCATAATCTGGGTACCTTTGACTGAAAATAGAAAAGTTACCATACTGGCATGGTAAAAATTCCTTTGCTATCTACATATTTCTTGCACCCACCTTATAGTAATGAAAATTTTTCTCTCCCTGATACATGATGCATTCTTATCATTTCAATCTCGTATACTTTACAATTTTTATAAAGCAAAACTTGCCGAAAGGAGGTTCTTCGTTTAACTACAATATCTTAGTGTGTTATTAAAGATTTACTAATATATATTATGGAAATCTAAATGCATGCTGACAAAATCACATCAATATCACCTTAAGTGACTAGTAATACTGAGAGAAAGTTGTTTATTGAATTGTACAAGTGTTACAACTATACATATATTTATAATTACATAATTCCGTACTCTAATTAATAACAAACTCGGTGATAAACTTTTCTGCAAACTTGATCATAACGACACGCGAAAGTATCGATGAGCTGGCATAGTAATTATCGGATAATATAGCAGTTATTACAATACATACACATGTAAATACGTAGAGGTAGTTCAGAATGTAATGCCCTTATGTTGTGGATTGCACAGTAACAAAACTCCGCCAGTTCATTGATTACTACATTTTTAGATTTTTATCTTTTAAAAACTTTGCCCGTTGCATTTTGTACCTGTAGCGAGGCACAGCTAATTGTAAGTCGATGTTTTCGTAATGTACAATAGGACATAGGAAGGCTCATGAAATTTTGAACTTACTATACCAACATCTACTTGCTAAATAATTAAAATTCTACAATAAGGAAGCTGATAGCGGAATCGAGGTTATTATATGTACAATGCATCTGCTTTATATGTATGTACATGGGTATATGTAATATACAATTAATATATAACTGGCGTTCTCGATGTACGTTATCTCGTGCTGTCTCAATTTGTTTATGTTTGATTATTGCTCTTATCTCAACACAATTTCCTATTCGTATCATCGGCACATGAACCACATTCATGTATATATTGTAGTTGTATCGGGTTCATAATGGACCTAAGTGATTACAGGCACGCAGTTTGAATATGTAACAGTATTGATAATTAAAGTACTGTATTCATAATCGTAAGGGTTGTCACGACGAACTTTTGTTCAGTCCCTGAAGAAAGTAACTTTGTTTGTTTGGGTGTTCTGTCTCACGTTTTGACGTTGGAATTTAAGCTATTTAACGTTATTTAATCGTAATTAAATTAAAAAAAATACTGCAAGTAAAAGGGCAAAATAATTGATATTCCGAATGGGATCTACTGAATCGGGGGTCGATACCATTTTGGAAGTTTAGGAAGTCCTTTTGAATGGTACCATTTTAGCAACAAATCAAGTTATTAAATTAAAATTAAAACAAATTAAATATATTCGGTACCTTAACCAACCTAGGTTATGTTAGTTTGTGTTATGCTAGGGTGAATGGTTCCCCTTTCCCGTTTGAGAGCTTTACCTGACGTGAGATTCCAATAATTTGTTACTAAAATTGGTTAAAGGTCAACTTCTTTTCGCCACTTCAAGTGGTAAGATTCGAATGTTCTTGACCTACGACTTTCAAAAATTTTTTTAATGTTTCTCGTATAATGAAGTAAATGTGACGATGCGTGATATTTTTTCTATTATACTTTGATTATTTATTTAGTTACTGTGCGATTAGATATAAATAATGCCCAAACAACAGATAAACGAATCTTTTTACATATAAGTTGATACGGAATGTGAAACAATAACCTCATACATTACGGTTTCAGTAATCCTATATTACACACAATTAATCATAGGACTTTTCATTAAAGATGTTTCGTAACTTACACACAAATAATGAATATTTCCACAAAGTTTACTAAAGGGAACGGACTATAACAGAATAGTGAATAATTATAATGCAATAAGAAAATTTTTGTTGTTTGTCAAGGAATATCCATTATTAATCGATTGAAATTTCTTTCGGGAAGTAGTTACGCATTCTAACAATAATTACGAAGTATTTTTATCGATGTACTTAATTTCATTAATTATTGTAGTTATTTGGGCGTTATTTTAAGGGAAGATTTACAGTTATAAACAGTTTCTTTGTTTTTTGCAGGGATCGGTTTGCCAACAGGGGTCACAATGCGAGAAAAGAAAAGTGGTGCTATGTCTCGTATGCAAAAACTCAAGAAAAGACTGTCACACTCTTTTGGACGATTAGGTGAGTTAAAATCCAAAGCTAAATATATTTCAGCTGAAAGCAAAATTTTCGAATACTTCATCAAATAACAGGTCAATTGAAAAGTCCCCGGCCTAAAATAGTAAAACACAATTTTTTTGCAAAATTCGTTTTTTTTATTCAACATAATTCCCTTCAAGGGTGATACACTGATTATAGCGATCCTCCAACTTTTCGATACCATTTTTGTAGTACGATTTGTCCTTTGCTTCAAAATAGGCCTCAGTTTCGGCGATCACCTCTTCATTCGACGAAAATTTTTTCCCAACGAGCATTCTTTTGAGATCTGAGAACAGGAAGTAGTCGCTGGGGGCCAGATCTGGAGAATACGGTGGATGCGGAAGCAATTCGAAGCCCAATTCATGAATTTTTGCCATCGTTTTCACTGACTTGTGAGACGGTGCATTGTCTTGGTGAAGCAGGACTTTCTTTTTCTGCAAATGCGGTCGTTTCTCGGCGATTTCGTCCTTCAAACGGTCCAATAACGCTATGTAATAGTCGCTGTTGATGGTCCTTCCTTTTTCAAGGTAGTCAATGAAAATTATTCCACGCGCATCCCAAAATACAGACGCCATAACCTTGCCAGCCGACTGTTGCGTTTTTGCACGCTTTGGAGCGGGTTCATCGTGTGCAGTCCACTCCGATGACTGTCGATTGGACTTCGGAGTGAAATGATGGAGCCATGTTTCATCCATTGTCACATATCGACGCAAAAACTCGGGTTTATTACGCGTGATCATCTTCAAACACTGCTCTGAATCATCAACTCGTCGTTGTTTTTGGTCAAAAGTGAGCTCGCGCGGCACCCACTTTGCACAGAGCTTTCTCATACCCAAATATTCGTGAATGATGTGATGTATACGTTCCGTTGATATCTGTAGAGTGTCTGCTATTTCATTCAATTTCAATTTACGGTCATTCAAAATCATTTTGTGGATTTTTTTAATGTTTTCGTCCGTAACAGCCTCTTTTGGGCGTCCACTGCGTTCACCGTCTTCGGTGCTCATTTCACCACGTCTAAACTTAGCATACCAATCCTTGATGGTTGATTTTCCTGGGGCAGTGTCCGGAAATTCGTTATCAAGCCAAGTTTTTGCTTCAACTGTATTTTTTCCCTTCAAAAAGCAATATTTTATCAACACGCGAAATTCCTTTTTATCCATTTTTTTCACAATAACAAAAGTTGCTTCACTAAAAATGCTATAATTCACAAACTAATGATCCGACAGCCGTCAAATTTATAGACGCGTCTTTTGAAGATTAGGACTAACTGAAAATCATATGGATTTAGTTCTAGTGCCGCCATCGATGTGTCAGGCCGGGGACTTTTCAATTGACCCTAGTACATAAGTTAAAAAATAAGCCAATTAATGTAAAAGTATTAAGAGGTTGTGTTTACGCCGACTTCTGAGAATATACATTTCTGAACATGCCCGACAAAACATACCAAAAGTTACCAACTTTAGTTCTTGAGTTACTTGCTACGAAATAAATTACTTTCAAAATGTCACTTTTTGTCAAATAACTCTTAAAATAACTTCTTCTTGAAAACCTTAATGCGAGTGTACGGTAAATTTCATAAAAAAATGCATGTCTATTTTTATGTCTTTGTACAATGAAAAACGTAGGCTCCAGACTTTTTTGTAGTTATTAATTAAATTGAGCTCCAAAAAAGCTTATTACAGCTTCAAATATGAAAATGAATGAATGAAGTCGGAACATTAAAAGATTTCCGATGAAATCTGTAAAAGCTCACCACAATTTGCGAAATTTTTAAGATAAAAACCTGCAACATTTACATATTACTTTTGAAGTATGTTACATATAAAAAGATCAGATGAATGAAAAAAAAAATCGAAAATTAATTTTTGAAAATGTACACGTCCAAAATTTCATTATTTTGTAAAAGTAATATAGTTTGGTATGTTTAGGTATTCTGGATTAATTTTCTATATAAATGCTATTTTTAAAGGTTGAATCATAAAAAAATATATTTATCGATCTCGAATACCACTGAATATTTTCAACCCCTGTTGATTCCACTAACGAAATACGATATGCTAAGAGTTGTTATGTTCAGTTTTCTCAAGTACATACAAGTCATAACTTACTTTCTATGTCGCATAACATACGTTACAACTTATTTTTTCCCATTATATTATGAGGGTCGACGAAAGAAAACGTATCAAACGTCGTTATTACTTAAGTTTGTTCTACTATAGTAGATACAGAAGGATTAAGGGAAGCCGTTTCAAATTTCCAGTCCATTTGTAATTTTGTGTGTTTCGTGGACCTGAAATTTTCGCTATTAGGATGAGTAAGCAATAACGAAAGAAAATTACCATATGTACGAGGGTGCGTTTTTAAGTTCGTGAAATGGGTCGAGTCATTGCGAATTAAGCAAATCATTATTAGTAGAAATAGAAGTTTTCTCGTAATTAGGCTAGTAGTCTTTAAACTATCGCCGACGAAACAAGTCAATCGGGAATAAATTGTTAAATATGAGGAAAATCGAGTATCGCGCTGTTATAGTTTCTTACCAAATAAGGAAAATCACACTGGAAGAGATGTCATTCGTTTACGGAGACTTGCCCAGGTAAAACCAAGTGGCATATCCTCTTTAAGCAAGGCAGAGACTCACTTGAAGATGACCCACGTCCAGGCATGGCCGATCAAGGTGACCACTCCGGAAATCATTCGAAAAGTTGAAAAATGAATACTAGAAGATGCCCAACTTAAGTAGAAACAACTGGCAGAAATGATAGGAGTATCAGACACAACCATTTTTAAAATTCTTCACGATCATGTTGGCATGACTAAAATCAGCGCAAGATGGGTGCCGAGAATGCCCACTCCGCCTCAAGAACAATAGCGTTTGGGGTGTTCTCGTGCGTTTTTGGACCTCTGTAGTGAAGATACAAAAGGAGCATTGCCTCAAATTGTTACTGGGGACGAAACTTCGGTTCATCATTATGAACCTGAGTCCAAACAGGACTCCATGCAGTAGCACAAAAAAAGCACGCCACCACCCAAGAAGTTTAAGGTGTCATACTCGGCTAGGAAAATCATGGCTACAGTCTTTTGGGACTCAGAAAGGATTCTGTTGGTCGATTAAAAATATAAAAGTGTCTCCATAACCGGAGAATACTATGCTTCAATCCTAGAGCGGTTAAAGGAAGCAGCCAAAGAAAAAAGAAAAGGAAAATTGATCAAAGGTGTTCCCCATCTGCACGATAACGCGCCTGTTCACAAGAGCCGTGTTGCGATGGCTGCCCTGCAGAAGGTTGGCTTCGAAATTTTGGCTCACCCACCCTTCAGTCCTGACCTACCTCCTAGCGATTATTAACTATTCCCAAACTTGAGAAGAAGTCTTCGTGGGAAGGAATTTTCATGCGACGAAGAAGTGAAGGATGCAGTTTCGGCGTATTTTTCAGACAACGACAAAATATTTTTAAAAGGTATACGTAGGTTAATTGAAAGGTCGGAAAAATGTATAAGGGTAGCAGTTGAATATATTGAAAAGGAAAAATAAATTCTTACTTTTGTTTCCACTTTTTAACCCCCATTCCGCCAACTTCAAAACGCCCCCTCGTATATTGATGTATAATTTTGTTGCTTAATTGCCTCGATTTATTAACGTCAACGATTTGAATTACTTGCTGAATACAAAAATGAATGTAATACTTATTGCTATNCCTGTCCAACCAGTCTTAGGACTGACGACGCTATGATGATGAAGAGCATTTGCCCATGTGATCCAAGGAAACCGCAGAAAAAAACTTGGTCCAGAACCAGAATCACACCGCTAACCTCCCGAATACTAAGCAATGGTCTAAATCCTATGACGACGATAATGGCCATTTTATATTCCCGTCCGTTTAAGCAATTTGCATAATAATGTTTATTAACCTTTTATATCCGGGAATCTAAACTAAAAAAAGAATTTACAACTTGAGCTCCTATCTTATTAAATAGAACAATCAAGGAAGTATCTTGCCGTATCTTTGAACAAACAATTTCTTATTTGCACATGTTTCATATCGTTAACAATTGTTTAATGATCGTAATAAACTAATTCTCCGACCTTTCGTGCTCTGTGCGCCTATATTTTTGACAGTGCAAACAAGGAAATCCTCGGTGTAATAAAATTATGTAAGCAAGCATATGCATATACTGTATTTAATACGGATAGCTTGGAATGACATGAAACCTTCAAATTGTTATTGCCTAATTGCATTCGTCCTGTACATTTGGAAACAATGTGCCATGCTATGAAACCAGAGATGGAGATGGAGCTAATGATAAACTGTAAAAAAATGACTGCCATTGTTTTTAAAAGCTAGAAGTGTAATAGAAATCTATGAATTGGCGTAGTTTTGTCAGTGTGCAACTCAAGGCCAAGGTTCATATCATTCTAAATTACCTCTAAACTTCAAATGTATGATAAGTAATAATTGTAAGACCCCCTGTGGGGGTATTCCATTGCTGTGAGGGCTGCTCCCTTTGCTTCGCCCCTGATCTATTTATAATAGTGTCTATTAAAGTCGACACTTTTATACCATCGATGTTTTAGCATTTCTAATGCCTTTTAGAAGTCAGAAAAGTCAGGACGGAAGGAGTAGTAGGGATATAAAGCAGATGATACGGCAGGGTCGTGTCGCCTTCAATAAAAAGAAGTCACTTTGCTTGCGAACGGTTAATTTAGAAATTCTAAAAAGGCTGTTAAAGGTGTATGTTTGGAGCACAGCACTGTACGGGTGCGAAACATGGACAGTGAGCGCGGCGGAAAAGAAAAGGTTAGAAGCGTTCGAAATGTGGTGTTACAGGCCAATGATGAGGATACCGTGGATAGAGAAGGTTAGAAATGAAGAGGTATTAGAAAGAATAGGAGAATAGAGGACTTTATGGAAGTCAATAAGAAATAGGCGAGATAGATTGGTAGGACACCTTCTCAGCCATGAAGTTAAAAATTCCTTTTTCTG